ACTGATAAAGCTGCTCTGAGTATCTTAACAAAAAAGATTCCTTACAAAATTTTACTTCACATACAGTTAGTTTGTTCGTATTATATTGATTACTAATATAAATTTTATGTTTTAACATGTTTGTTATTTGTTATATCATTGCCCGTGCCAAATCCCGTGCCGATTCGACTAGTAAACTGCTGCAAAACCCGTACCATTTACGGTCCAATAGGCACGGGCATACGGTCCCATACGGACCACCGAATCCGTACCAACTCGGACCATACCCGCACAAATCCGGATCTTGACACGTGCCACAAAGGCCCGTACCTATCAGAAACCAACCCGTACCGATCCGAACCATTTTTCTTATAGGGATGTGTAATTTGCATTCAATATCATTCGTGGATGGCAAAAACCCGTGAATATTCATCGAATAGTCATAATGGATATTCAACGATCCCAGCTCTAGTCCCAATTATTTATGTAATTAGTTACAACATAAGCTTTTAGTTAGTTACACGGTGTCACGGCTTAGAGAGAGACTTATTTGCTTCGTGACTGATTTAGCTTTAAGCTGTGAACATTAGGGTATTAAAAGAATGTAATTTTTACATTAGGAGAGCAAATATCATATGTTTATTATATTTTATTAGAGAGAATTCTATCTTACTTATCCTCTCTCATTACATAAAGCGATTCTTTATATGAGTGCCGTCAAGGGAAAACCTGTCATCGGACTTTCAATTATATTTTGTACCGGACAAAATCTATTTAATTTCTTAGGGAATATGTTCGGTACAAAATATAATTGAAAGCCCGATGACAGGTTTTCCCTTGGTGGCATTTATCTAGAATTACTCGATTACCAAGAATGAGGTAAGAACTATGACTATTTACAAATATTATGATAATGGGAATTCACAGGAATGTAGTAATCGTTACCTAGAAATATAGTTAGTTATAATTTCTAATTATGAAGTAACGGGGATGATGAAATAAATACTAATTATAGACTAAATTAGTATACTAAAAAATTTTACCGTGACAACGGACGATTCTACTGCATCATCACCACTTGTGATCGTGTTTGACCAATAAAATTAATGTATTTAAAAGCACTGCACCAAAGAACAGTATTTTTTTGCAAGAAATTTGAAACATTTCACGTGATTGCGAGTATAAACTTCCAGCACCATATATTTATCGTTATTTCTATAATTTTTTTCCATATAGAATATTAAATAATAATCTTGTATGTTTGTGAGCCTATATAAACTTTGGCGTTTATCTATAAAGGATTAGATTGTGTATAAATCCTATAAATCAAAAGCTAAAATAATCGTCATGTCTCTTCATAAGGCAGCTGCGCAGGCATCATCACACAAAACCAGGATGGAAAGAATTTGGGCACAAAGATTTTTTAAAACCTTAGATTGGAAATTATGATCAACTGGACTAGTGGTAATAAATTTTGTATAAAAGCACTTAAAATCATACTATTGGTTTTAGATGCGGAATTTTCATCATTGCACCTTATGGACAATCATAATTAAGTGTGCTAAATTTAAATTTGTATCAATTTATAATTACATTTGTAAAAGAAAAAAAGAGATGTTTGTTTTTTTACTTAATTTGATTTCGGACACAAAATAATAATATCGATATCTAAAAAAAATAACTACTTCTAATTATGAACATAAAATTTATACATTCGGGCATTTTTAGAATTGGACCAAATTAAAAACTCCGAATTACTATTTGATTAGTTGTAATTTTTGCATAATAATATACGTCAAGCAATGACTCATATATAAAACTGTACCAAAACCAATAAAACTAATACTGTATAATTATTACGTCAAGCCCATCTCCTTACCTCAAAACTCATCTCTTTTTCATCGGTGAGTCCATCACCTTTTATTATTATTAAAATTTACTATAAGATAATAATAGTCAAATAATTTGACGCATATTGAATATGAATGTCGCTAAAAGAAAACCTGAAAATTTAAATATAAATTATATTTAAATTTTAGGGTTTTCTTTTAGCGACACTCATATTTATCAAACACTACGTCATAAATTTAGGGTAGTGTTAAAAGTCGTCCTAATGATTTGAATTTAAGTGTCACATAAATAAAGTGAAAATGACTGAAAATTTAATTCAACTAATAAAGAATTCTGATTACAGAAAATGTACACATTGCGATGAAGATAACACATGGTGTCAGATATGTAATCCAGACACAATAATTCACGGATGATAATGGATAATAGAGATTAAGAGATTGTTTATTATATGAAAAGACAACTTAGAACTTATAATCATATGATCTAATGGATACCATTTGATAAACGATTAAAAAAATTAAAGAAATTGATGCAAATAGTACAACAGTGGTTCCCACTTTCGTTTGTTATAATTGTAAAATCATATGCAGTTATTGAATGCGAAATATCCAATAATCAAAGTTTGGATGTTACGCACCAATAATGGAGTTATTTTTCAAATAACTCCCGTTATCCGACATGTCTGACGTAAACATCGAACGATTTTTGTAAGTTATTCGGCCACCCCCTAATACAAATACACAAATTTTCATCACCTCTTAAAGAGGTGATGAAAATTTGTGTATTTGTATTAGGGGGTGGCCGAATAACATACAAAAATCGTTCGATGTTTACGTCAGACATGTCGGATAATTTAGTTATCAGTCGAGTTTTAGTGATTGATGACTGATTTTTCATCCTGGTGAATAATCAGTTATCAATCAAAACACTACAGATAACTAGTACTTATTGGATGCTCCGCATCCAATAACTATATATAATTTGGCCGGTCGATCATGATTCTATTATATCATACGGTCGGAAATCTTCATTTTTGTGATTAGATAAATTGATTGATGGGATTACATAGAATTTGAGCAATAATATATGATGTAATGTGATTACTAAGATTCAAAGATTAAAAGTGATTATGCAAATGATTTTAAAATTACTTATGAATTGCTTATGAGTTACTTATCAGTTACTTAGTTTTTATACGCTGTTCATATGTTTTAGCCTAATTTACATTTGTACAATACAGTACTAAACGTGCGCAATCGTTTTTTTTTAAATCCTAAACATGTAGCATAAATTTTTGAGATACTAAAAAGAGTTTACTGTAATTGTTTACACTTGTATATTGTATTTGCACAGGTTTTAAGTATGTTTATTTCAATATTTTTCCTTTTTTATCATTAAACTGTACGACTTTGAAACAAAAACCCAGGATGAAAGATGAATACACATAAAAATAGGGAAGATGGAAAACAAGATGCCTCAAAGTATTGAGGTCTTTTAATTCTATACATATAAATGATCCTTCTTTCACTTTTATTCGTTTAAAATTCCTTTTTCCAATTTTGCAAGATAGAAAATTCATTACTAGGTTACATAAGTTAAAATATATTAAAGTATATAAAAATGATAAACTTACGGGGCGAATATATTAATGATCCAATAAGTCTTAAATTTAGAATATTATACACAATTTTATGGCTTTCTCCTGCATTTGGAGTTTTAATTGCAGCTATATTGATAGAAAGTATAGTTGAAAAGACAGCATGTCAAAATTTTGGAGTTTCAGCAAGTCTTGGTATAGTATAGGCAATAAATGCATTGCTTATTACTGTAGCAGCTGCAGTATATTGGATTGCAATTCGAGCACATGCATCACAAATTCAAAGCAGGTTAATAAATATTGGCAATAGAATCCTATTTAAAGATATTGCGTCATGGGCTAGTTTAAACTCACCTCTTGATTTATTTAAGACATACAAATCCGGATCATTGAGTTTATGGAGAGTTCTAGCAGGATTAATTGCAACTATACTTAATGCTAGCTCTCGTCTTACATATACAATTGGTGATGTTTCATTAGGTGTTCACGATAATGTGGTTCAGACCAAAAGTCTTCTAAAAGGGACTATATGTGGTGCACTCTGTATGAATACTTCAGGGACTGTGCTTAGTAGTCATTTGATAGTTTAGCATCAAGTCAAAATGCTACAAGTGATGGATCATATAAAACACAAGACGGATTCACTATATTTACCACCCCATCATTTTATGGATCTGGAACTACAACTATCAAAGACTCGTTAACTGACAAAGTATTTGTTCTTGTTATGAGATGTGTCATCTAATGTGACGGGTGGATTACAATGGACAACAGCAATTTATCTAAATAAAAATGGTACAGCACCTACGGCAAGTGTAAATGGATATTATACAATATGTAATGCTACAGCAAAGACATATGATGTAACTGCTCATGCAACGTCTAATGACACATGGGAAGAAACAAGTATGGTCAAAAATTTAGACACACGGCTTGTATTTACAGAAGGAGATCTTCAACAAAATGGTAGTATTATTCCATATTCACCGACAGGTTGTACAAATTGCGATTTTATTGGAACAGAGAATGGTAATATGACTATGGCGTTGGCTTTCGGGAGATGGTACTGTAATTTCAAGTGAATTGATGAGTAAGTTATATTGTCTTGATGGTCATGATAACTTGAGGGGTGTTTACTATTTTGAGCTGATGTTTCCAATATGTTGACATACTGTTGACACGAATTTTCGTTATGAATAGGTTATTTTAAAGATTTGAGAATTAATTTTGTTTCTAAGAGAACTAAAAATGGAATAAATAAATAAAAATATAAAAGTCTAACATAGCCGATATTGGCATGTATTTTTTTGTGTGAAACCTTTAATAAAAATTTTTAGGGGCATGCGCGTGTCGCGCATATAGTGTGATATTATAAAATCTTTTGATGAAAATCTTTTCTGTTTTAGTCAAAAAGGAGATAACAGTTACCAATAACGTTGATTAAAAAAATCGGGGTAAAATTTAACCGTTACTCAAAAATACACATAAAAGATGGGCAAGGAGAATAAATAAAATTCATAATTATATGAATCGTTTTTTTTTTTAAAAAAAATGGGTCAAAAGAATTCGTCAGAATTTTTTGAACTTGGATATAATTATTTTCGTAATACAGGTGTCAAAAAGGACAAAAAAAAGGCATTCAAATATTTTAAAAAATCTGCCAACATGGGTCATGCTAAAGGAATGTATATGGTTGGTGTTTGTTATCAAAGTGGATATGGAGTCAAAAAAGACGATTATAAAGCGTTTACATATTATCAAAAATCTGCTGAACTAGGTGATGATGAAGGAGCGTATAAAGTTAGTGAATGTTATATGAGCGGAATTGGTGTTCCGGAGGATAAATATAAGGCGATTGAATATTATCGAAAATCTGGCAAGGACTTCGAATATTATCAAAAAGCTGCTGAGATGGGGGATAGTGAAGGAACGTATAAAGTTGGTGAATGTTATATGAAGGGAGTTGGTGTCCCAAAGGACGAATACAAGGGATTTAAATATTATCAAAAATCTGCTGAGCTGGGCTACACTAAAGGAGTATGTATGGTTGGTACTTGTTATCGTGATGGAACTGGAGTTGAAAAGGATGAAGATAAAGCATTCAATTATTATAAACAATCTGCCGATATGATTTATGCTTCTGCGTTGAGTTTTGCCGGTAATTGTTATCAATATGGAAAAGGAGTTAAAAAGAATGAACACAAGGCCTTCCAATATTATCAAAAAGCTGCCGATATGGAGGATAATATTGGAAATAGCGGTGTTGTTGGAGATTGTTATAAGTGCAGAATTAGACGAACATAAAGCAAAAGAATATAGTTAGGGAATTAGGCTCCATATTACAGCTCATTGTAATTATCTTTTTTAATTTAATCAATTCATAAAGGGTTTTGCAGAAATTATTATATTAAAGTATTTAATAAAGACGGAATAATATTTTATATCGCACACCGAAAATGTGTACAAGGTTGCGCTCTGGATGATCATGTGACTGTTCGGACGACTACTTCGGAATTCAAAATTTCTATCGCTATCGCTATTAATAGATTCGCCAATACATTTAATAAAAAATATTTGACGAAATAATTTATTTCTTAAAAACTTTTTTGTAGATAGTTTACTCTATGAATCGAATCTCTCTATACTTGAAGCATTCCATCAGGATCTTCCATTTTTGCAGAATGTTTTCGCTTTTTCACTGATTCTAAAATTTTTTTTCTCGGCAGCCACCTAAGCAAATTCGATAAACTTTTTTTTAATTTTATCAAGCCTCACGAACTCTGGATATAAAGCACACAAAAATTTCAAACTATATAATAGTTCGTTATAAAAAATAATATGATACTCAATAAAGCGCCATAAACACACCTTATATATTAAGGTAAATTCTAAAATAAAAAATACTATGGGCTTTTAATAAACATAATTTCTATGACGACTTTTCAGAACTGTAATTCGTTATTGTAGGTTGGCAGTAATTTTTATGTCAATAAAAAATAATGTTAAACATTATAAAGAACTACAAAAAATTTCCTTATGAAATTACAAATACAATGGTGGCGGAAAAGAATGAGAATCACGTGATGTGGCGTAGCACGCCCCAAATTTTATTAAAATTTCATAAAATTTTAACTACAACTAGCTAAAAAGACATGCATTCAATTATTTAATATTCAATTGTTTGCCCATCCTATTCGACAACTAATCTCAAACATTCAGCCATAGAACTAACTAATCGATAACATAATCCTTTATTAATACTGTTCCATTCATCTTCAATTACAATGAGCTAAGATGCTCTGGATAGCCCGGATATTTACTAATTTTTATTTTACCCATTTGTTCAAGACCTACAACCCATATATACAACGTTGCTCTGGAAAAACCAGTTACTTTTCGAAGAGTTTGGACTTCTTCATGTCTATTTTTCACAAGAACATAACCAAAGTATGCCTTTTTTCGAATGAATCCATTTAAGGTATTTGTGATACAGAAAATCACTTTTTATATATTCTGAACTATGTATAACTAATTTTATTTCTATTTATCTAATATCAGTATAATGGGATTTCAACCTTATTACCAGGGACCCGTAAAAATTTGGATTTTATTTATATGATTTCCAAATTTGTATAAATAATTTCCAAATTTTTACGTGTCCCTG